ACTGGCCCTATCTGGAATTTTGGCCCCTGGAAATGATGATGGGCCCAATGCTCCCCATGATTGACTGGGTCACATTTTGGTCTATAGTTGGTTTGGGCCAAGGTGCCCCCTCAGAATTCTTTGGACATACCCATGTTAACTTTGGTATAGGTCCGATGACTATCTTCTTGTTCTGAATTCCTTATGTTGAGATATTCCTAGAGAAGCAATCGAGAGGTACACAATATCCTCTCCAAATCATTATGTTCCTTCAACTAGCCTTTGATAGCATACGGAAATATGAAAGACAAAAAGGGCCTTGGTGCTAAAATGTGTTTCAACAACTAGCAGACCCTCAGCAAATAGGATTTTGGTCAGGAATACATCCAGCTCAACGTGCTTTGCACAGTCTTATTATCATTGGAGCTGGTAGCTCTCCAGCAAGTGGCAGAGACATACTCACATCCAGATTGGAGTGTTTGTTTTAGGTAGTGGTAAGTATTAAAGGGGACCAAGTGTGTATGTACCACTGCACAGAGAAGACAAGAGAAGATACTGTGTGCAGGGCTTGGTATCTGGAGCCTACCAGATCTCACACTGTGCCTTCTTTATTTTCTGAGTCATGTGCTCAGGTTGAATGCCCAAGAGGAAGGGGCCCTAGATCTTTGGTAGATAAGAAAAATCCATCAAGACACATATATGGCCCTAGACACACTTCCCTACGCTCAGAGCTAATGTGATAATACTATGACTTTCTTGTCTCATGTACAATGGCACTCAAGGCAGTGCTCTTGTTAGAAATAGTGTTTTGGACTCAGGTTTCTTGGCTTCTCCTTTTGCTGCTATTCCTTTCTTGAGCTTTGTGGGATCAACAAATTTGCCTACATTTTTGAGACATCCCACCGGAGAACAGCCCTGCTGCCAATGTCTTTCCTTTATTGCCAAAGCTCTGAGCCTCCTTGGATGAGAGATAAGTGCATCCTCTCATCCCACAAGCTCTATTCCTTACAGGGCACCCCCACCTAGGATTTGAGACTTCCTCTTGGCATGTGGCTCTACCTGACATTGCTAGAATCATTTGGTCTGCAGTACAGGGCTGTGCAATGACCTTAAAGGGTATTTTTACATGAATTTTTTAGTAGAAAACATAAATAAGTAACAATAAGGCACAGCACAGTCGTTCTTTGCAGAAACCAAGCAGAACTCATTAATCATGGACAACAGGACTCTTGGCTGAACCCAGGGACAGAATCAACCTGGGCTACAGCTGCCACTTCAGATAGGACAATATTCTCCACAAGCTGGTGGTAAAAAAACATTATAAAGTTCTAGAGAAGTACTCCCTAAGTTTCAAACTTCCTAAAATTGCCCAAAGTCTTCTGTAGCAAGGACTTGTGCTTAAGTCAAGTGATTAGGTGAGGGGATCTATATCTGTGGTATCCCCTCTCCCACATGAAAACAGGTTCCATCATTTTTAAATCTTTGCTATTTATTTGCAATGTTTAATAAAATGCAAACAGGAAAAGAGGCAAACTTCAAAAATTTTCATTGTACTATTTATTATAACAGTAACAAAACAAAACAAAGAA